AAGTTGTTGCCTCCGAAGTCTCCTAAAATGATCTTCAAAAGAACCAAAGGAAGGCCCAATCAATCGATTACGGTAACTTTTTTAAGTTGGAGCTTTTGCGCGATTAAATGAAGTTATTAAGGTAGGGTGCTTCGATAAGCTATTTTACTACGCACCTAAAAAATCTCACGTGCGAGTTGCAAGCATCTCGAAATTCTTGCAGAATCGCGGAAAAAAATTACCGTATATTTTTTGGCGGATCTCTTTGACTTGCACTTTCGAAGAATTCAGACAACTGATAACGATGGCGCCCATTAACGATTACCAGGCAGTGTCTTAGCTCAAATTGGCGTTGACTAAGCCGTTTTTTACGCCGCGTGCTGCCGTCATCAATCTGTCGCATCGATTTTTTATTGCTGAAATAGGACCTTCTTCCGGGTAGAGAATGTGCAAGGAGTGGGAACAACCTAAAGCGCCTGTCTTTTTGGGAGCGTCCCAAATAGGAGGAAATTATGGGTACGAGAACAATTGCACTAAAGGGCAGCTACTGAAGACAATGTGACGCCTTTTGTATTAATACCTTCACTGCTACCTGCGACCCTTTCATATTTTACAAAGCCGACGTTAGGCTAAGGTCTGGGAATGAGCGGATACTAACTTGAGCCTCGCTCGTACTTTTGAGGTCATTGTTCCCTATAAAAGCGCATTCAAACATGTCTGCGATACCGGTTGGAAGCCAGATGTGTGGCGCACCCCAATGGGATTCGCCGTGTATCGGTTTGCTTTCTTGTGAAAAGCTGACCTAAAGGGGTTATGGACTTGATTAGAGTAAATAAACAGACGAAATGGAAACAAAATAAAGGCAAACAAATAAACATAGCATAATGCAATGATTGAACAAAAACAACTTACCGAGTTGGTTCACTTAGAAGAATTCCCTTTGAAAAAACTCTCAGAAATCAATTCTGTAGTAGGAGGACTCAAATATGCCTTCTTAACCCCTGAATAAATATCTGCCTTTCAGAATCTGGTCGTTCTTTGGGATCAACTCTTCCATCGCACTCTTCCAGCATTGCAAAGTGTATTATATCCTCT